CCCCCCCCCCCCGCGCCTAATGCCGGCCCCTATCGCCCCTTACCAAATACACGACAGGTTGAGGCTGGCATCCATGCGTTGAGTAAAGGGAACCCTTTGCCCCCGCCGAGACACAAGAAGAAATCGTCGGAAGCGGATTGCGGCCATGCCGCTGGTACTGCTGCGGCAAGTGTCGCTGGTGTTGCGGCGCAAGCAGCAACTGCTCCGGCGAGCAACAGTGGCGGCCTTTCCAACAGTGTCGGGGCCCTGGCTCGCAATGTTGTAGGTGGGAGGGGGGACGCGGGGAGCGGGAGGACAGTGACGGCGGCGGGAGCGGTGGGGAAGAGTTATTCGCAACAGGTGCGAACAGCGGTACGTAGCAGATTCCCAACCGGTTGGGGCCGGTGAGGCACTCATGGTAACAACACTGCTGCTACTGGCGCGTTGCGCACAAGTGGTTGCTGTGTGGCGGTAATTGTCAGGGGTTTACATGAATTTTGTTTTTCATCATTTTGTGAAGTCTCATCCCTATCCTGGTGCATAGCGTGCCAGCCGCATTGTGAGGAAGGCGCCGGTCCGCGAATCCTTCTTGATGCCTGCCGCTCTCCAAACCTCGATGGACGCCTGGTATCCATTTTTTTCCGACGGCGTTGCGTCGTGTTACTGTTGTTGCCATTTTTGTCCCAAGCCTGGCTGCCCTGTGTATCCCGGCTCATCAATCTGTTATCCTACCCCAACCCTACTCCTAATCCGAACCCAGGTTCTTACCCCGCCGAAGGCCAAACCAGTAGCAGCTCAACCCCAGCTAAACCCAAACTCGGTGGCTGCCAGACGACTAGCTTCTCGGAAGGGTTCGGCTTCTGCAAATAATACCGGGAGTAGAAATTGCTTGGTCCCGCCGCCGCCGCCGCCGCCTTCTGAGCAAAGGCCGGATGACGACGGCGGTGCCCCCGGCGGCAGCGGCGGCTCGCCAACGGGGTGGCCGGGAGCATCGACGGCGGCAGCGGCGGTGGCGACGGTTGCGAGCGGGGCTTGTGGCGGCGACGGTCACCCAGACCCGGATGGCTGGGGCAACTTCGCGGCCTTCGATCAGTTCCCGGAGGCGTTGGATTTGTCCACGTCAGGTCGACAGCAGGGTAGCAGTAGTAATTTCGGGGCGGCACCGCTTGAGTCGCCGGTGGCGGCAGTCGGAGAGTCCCCGCAGGTTATGAACGTGACACCACCCGTCAGCGAAAAGAGACAGAGCGGCGGCAAGAGGGCGGTGGCGGGTGGCGTGGCGGCCCTTGGGGAACAGCTCGAGGGGACGTCGTTTATGCCACCCCCCCCTCAGCAGCAGCAGCAGCAGCAGCAGCAGCAACGCCAACAGCAGCAGCTGGTCGGGAAGATCACCCAAATAGGAAGGGCGGCTAGTTTGGGCGGCGGCGGCGGCGGCAATCAGCAGCGGGCTTGGTTGATGGCTTCCCCCGCCGGCCAGGCTGCGCCGGGGGGGGATCGGCCGTTGAGCGGCCGCGTAGAGAACGGATTTTCGGCGACGTTTCCGCGGCAAGCGAGCGGGGGCGGGGGCGTTGCAAGCGACGGCAGCATCGGCATCGGCAGCAGTCCACAGCGGCGGCAGCAGCAGCAGCGGCAGCAACCATCACGTTCGCCATCCCCCCCTCCCCCGCCGCCTCAGGCGGTTGTCCTCAGGGGGGCGGCGACCTCTCCCACCCAGAGCATGGCGTGCTTGTCGCCGTCGGTGGGCACAGCGGGGAGCATGCAGCAGCAAGGTCTAGGACAAGTACCCCAGCTCCAGCAGCAGCGGCAGCGGTGGAGCGCGCAGCAGCAGCAGCAGCAGTGGCAGGCCGGAAATACCCCGGCAGACGTTGGTCAGGCCTTCGGTAATAACAACGCTAGCTGGAACAACGGCAGCAGCGCCACGTGGTCTGCCGCAGAGAGGATGATGGGTGGTGGGGTGGACGGGGTGTCGGGGTCCCCGCCGATTGCGGCGTCGCTATCCATCCCGACCTTGCAAGAACGAGAATCGAGCTCGGGGAGACAACAGCAGCACCAGAAATTTGGAAGCATCCCACCACCAACACAGCCCCAGTTCCCAGGGACAGGAGGTCCGTGGTGACACGGAACAGCAGTTTGCGTTTTGTTTTGCGTATGCATCCCTTCACCCTGGTAGAAAGAAGGCACACAGAGCTATTATTGTAAAATTGAATTTTGATGCGGTGATCTGTAGGGTGTAATATTCCTTTGCGAGGGAGGCGTTCGGGGGGGGGGGGGNGGGGGGGGGGGGGGGGGGGGGGGGGGGGGGGGGGGGGGAGCGCATCGCTTGCACAGAGGCTTCCACGGTTGTGTTTCGTTTTTGTTTTTTGCTATGTCTCGGGACAAGTATCCTAGCATGTTTGTTTGTCTTTCGTCCGGTGGCGTGGTTCCATGCGGTGTTGTTCTGTGTACCCTGTGTCGTCGTAAGTTTCGTCCATTTGCCTTTCATATTGTCTCGGCTGTTTGTCTGCTGCTAGCCCTAACCCTGATAAGAGTGTAAATACCCTTCTTGTCGTATCGCTCTGGTTGCGGAGATGGAATTGATCTTTTGCCAAGACCGAGTATAATGTCGGCGCCACATGGTCGTGGGCGGCCACCGCAGGAGCAAGATGAATCATTTCGTTTTTGGCGATGACTGGGGGAGTCGAGATGTCAAACAATTGTCATGGGAACCACCCCCGGAACATTTGCCAGGGGAACGGCAGAGAGCTTGAAGAAACACATGAAAAAGTGCTCGTGGCATGTGAAAACTGCTGCGGTGATTGGCAGGAGCTGAAACAAATTGACGGCATGTATGTGAAGAATATACCCATAGACTATAGCCACGCTGCTGGTGGGTACACTGCTTCTCGTCGTGTGGTCATCGCGTCGCGCCCTTCGTTTATCAACCTTTTAAACATCGCACAGCACGCAGATAGACTGCTGTAAGTATTGACTCGTCACCCGTGGCTCACTACCTAGACTATGAAAAGTACATCGGATGATGAATGGACACATTTTTGAATATTCGTTGTCGTGTTACATGTATATTTTTATTTTTTCCCATTATTGGACTCTGTCGTCTGCCCCTCTGGCCCCTGTCCTCCACTTCTACCAGCTAGGCGACCCAACCGGGTTCACATAGGAGGGGGGGTTGGACCCCCTCCTGCGGTTCCTGCCTGAGATATTTTTATCGCGAGAAGAGTACAGCAATCCCTTCCCTCGCGACTTATGAAGTCGATCATGTTAATGTTGTCCAAATCATTTTGGCGGCAGTCCCACCATTTTTCGTGGAGACGTGTAACACTTTTCAGTGTATGACTACACTTTCCATCGTATTTTTTTTCGTACAACACAGCTATTGTACTGCTGCTGCTGCAGCACTATTCAGGATCATACAGGAGAGGGTAAACACCGGGGCTTTTCTTCTACAGCAGTAGAGGCGGATATTAAAGGCCACCCGGGTATCAAAGGCCATTTTTATCAACCGGGGTATCTCCCCGCCGAAATCACGGAGCCCCTTGATCTTTTTTTTTAATTGCTCCGCGCAACTGGAGCTCTCGTTTGAGCACCAAGGCGTCGCACGCCAAGCATTCCACTCCGAGATACAGTCGGGGGAGCCACCAAAGCTCCCGCTGCTAGCCACCTCCGTCGTTTTGTTGGGATTATTGCTAAGCATGACCCGGCGCAAGGTGGACGAGGAGCAGGTTCGGAAGGCCTGTGCAGCGATAGATGATGACATGTCGGATAGGGCTGCTGAGGTCTTTGGGTTAGGTCGTACGTCCATCGAAGACCGCCGCCGTGGCAAGGTGGCCATGAACGCGAAGGTTGGTCCCGAGACCATCCTGAGCAATGAAGAGGAGGATCCGCTGGAAGATATTCTGCTGTTTGCTGCTCGCAACTTCTTGGCTGTGGATCGGGTTCACCTCAGAGGTGCGGTGCGACGACTCTGCAACGACGGTCGGCGGATCCCTTGAGATCCAGGGAAGGGTCCGGGGAAAGATTGGCATGCGGGCTTCCTACGTAGGCACCCACGGGTGGCGGAACCCTCGACCCGCATCTACGAGGCAAACAGGATCACCGAAGACGAGGAGCCTCGCATGGTGCAGTTCTACGAGAGATGGGCAGCTCTCCTCGACGAGGTCAAACCGGAGGCCAACCACGTGCACAACTCGGACGAGAGGTCAAGATTCGCTCTTGACTAGTCTAGTGTAGACTACAGCAGTAGTAGACGTGTGTCAGCAGTAGACACTGCGCGGGTGACTGCTGTGCAAAGACCACGAAACATGTCACACGAAAAATATCAGGCAGAGTCCTGCCCCCTTGCGGCGTAATTTTGGCATCCTCATGTACTGCTCACAAAGTGTAGTCTAGTCTAGATTACAGAGGCCGTGCTCCCGCATTCCTGCTCAAAAGTGCCGAAATTGCCGCTGGCTCTGGTCTAAAAAAGCCTACAGCAGCAGTTCCAGATGTACTGCTGTAGACTCTAGAATTCAATATTTTCATAGCTGCATCGCATCGTCTTCAGCTGGTATTTCGAGGGAACCTGCGGCGACGAACGTGCAACTTAGTCTAGGGGGGCGATGTTGAGTAGATGCATGTGCCAACACATGAAAAAAACAAGACTAGTAGTCTATACAGCAGTAGAACCTAGACTAAGCACACAGCACCCTGCTTTTGCTCTCCCGGTTGCCTCGTCCAGCTACCGCCAAAATGACGGTAAACTGCGTAGGTTGAAAGCCCTCGCCGCACGAAAAGAAATGAAAAAGAGCCACCGCGTGTCCCCCCCCGCCGTCCACCCCCGTTGCTTGGCGCGCACGATATTGACTGCGAATGTTTGGGTGCGTGCGTACACTGCTGCTAGTAATTTTGACTATCCATTAGACTAGCCTAACGTCCCCGACCCTCACATACGCGTTCCCGTTGCAGGTACCACCCCGCAAGGAACCAAGACGACGAAGGCGTTTGCGGAATTAGGGCAGAAGGTGGTTGGTTCGATGCGCGCCAACTCGCGAGAGAACACCACCGTGGTCGCTACCATCAGCGCTGATGGTCACACCTGGGCACCAACCATTATCTTCAAAGGGCAACGACTTCAGGCCGATTGGTTTGTAGAGCGAAACGGCCCGGAGGGTGCGAGGTACGCCTGCACAAAATTTTCGTTCATGCAGGGAGACGTATTCATCGCCTACTTGAAGGAATTCCACAAGCAGCTCGGCGACCGAATGTTGCTCGACGGAAACCCCACATACTCTTACGATGGACATGCATCACACGTGAGCGTGGAGGTAATCAGGCTGGCCATGAATCTCAAAATCATCTTGTCACAGCTACCCTCCCACACGTCGCACATCACCCAGCCCTTGGATGTCGCCGCCTTCGGACGCTTTTAGAAATCGGTGACCAGAGTTTTGGCGTCCTTCTACCACAACTCCGGCGGGTTGTTGCCGCTGATACGCGACATGCCCGGCGTGATCTCGGATGCTTGGAAATTGAGCTTTACACCGGAGATAAATAAATCATCATTCGCTGGGGCGGGCTTGTGGCCTGTGAACAAGGAGCGGGCGCTGGGCCGGCTGAAGGGCACCGCGAAGAAGAAGGAGCGGCGAGACGAGTGCCCACCCCTACAGGATGTCCCCATCGCCGCCCTCAACGAGCAGCTGGAAAAAGACATCGGAGAAAGAGCCCTCAGGGTGCTGAGGGGGCAAGGGCACAACGTCACGGGAATCCGAGTAGGCATGGTGTTACTCGGTGGCCTCCTGACTCAAAGGAAGCGCGCGAAGAAGATGGCGACCTCGCGGGGCTCGCTTGGCCTTCCCGACGGAGGCAACATCACCGCGCCTGAGCTCCTGGAAGCTGTTGCCGAAAAAGAACGCCCAGACAAGGCGGAGAG